AAATACTGTCTAGAGCTTGACATACTGTCGAGAGCATTGACATACTGCCTAGATCATTGACATACTGTCTAGATCATTGACATACTGTCTAGAGCATTGACATACTGTCTAGAGCATTGACATACTGTATAGAGCATTGACATACTGTCTAGATCATTGACATATTGTCTAGATCTTGACATACTGTATAGAGCATTGACATACTGTCTATAGCATTGACATACTGTATAGATCATTGACATACTGTCTAGGGCATTGACATACTGTCTAGAGCTTGACATACTGTCTAGATCTTTGACATACTGTCTAGATCATTGACATACTGTCTAGATCATTGACATACTGTCTAGATCATTGACATACTGTCTAGATCCTGACATACTGTCTAGATCATTGACATACTGTCTAGATCATAGACATACTGTCTAGAGCTTAACATACTGTCTAGAGCTTAACATACTGTCTAGAGCTTGACATACTGTCTATAGCATTGCCATACTGTCTAGAGCTTGATATACCGTCTAGAGCTTGACATTCTGTCTAGATCATTGGCATACTGTCTAGAGCTTAACATACTGTTTAGAGCTTAACATACTGTCCAGAGCTTAACATACTGTCTAGACCTTAACATACTGTCTAGATCCTGACATACTGTCTATAGCATTGACATACTGTCTAGAGCATTGACATGCTGTATAAAGCATTGAACTACTGTCTATAGCATTGACATACTGTATATAGCATTGACATACTGTCTAGAGCATTGACATACTGTCTAGAGCACTGACATACTGTCTAGAGCTTTGAAATACTGTCTATAGCATTGACATACTGTCTAGATCATTGACATACTGTCTAGATCATTGACATACTGTCTAAAGCACTGACATACTGTCTATAGCATTGACATACTGTCTAGAGCATTGACATACTGTCTAGATCATTGACATACTGTCTAGATCAATGACATACTGTCTAAAGCACTGACATACTGTCTATAGCATTGACATACTGTATAGAGCTTAACATACTGTCTAGAGCTTGACATACTGACTAGAGCTTGACATACTGTCTAGATCATTGACACACTGTCTAGAGCTTGACATACTGTCTAGAGCTTGATATACCGTCTAGAGCTTGACATACTGTCTAGAGCTTGATATACTGTCTAGATCATTGACATACTGTCTAGAGCTTGACATACTGTCTAGAGCTTGATATACCGTCTAGAGCTTGACATACTGTCTCTAGAGCTTGATATACTGTAGATCATTGACATACTGTCTAGAGCTTGACATACTGTCGAGAGCATTGACATACTGTCTAGAGCATTGACATACTGTCTAGAGCATTGACATACTGTATATAGCATTGACATACTGTCTAGAGCATTGACATACTGTCTAGATCTTGACATACTGTATAGAGCATTGACATACTGTCTAGAGCATTGACAGTATGTCAATGCTCTAGACAGTATTTCAAAGCTCTAGAAAGTATGTCAGTGCTCTCGACAGTATGTCAATGATCTAGACATACTGTATATAGCATTGACACACTGTCTAGAGCATTGACATACTGTCTAGAGCATTGACATACTTTTAACGGCTTTGATTAATTTTACTTTGACATATTAGTCATGCAGTCAATAGTATTGACATCCACTCTACAGATCGAACATACCGTCTACGGAGTACTTGGTTAAATGAATTAGTCAGGTTATAAGAAGCTGTCTGTTTCTGTTTCAAGGAAGCTTGGAGCTTGGTGAGTTTGTTAAAACACCGTTGGAATTACATGGAAAAGTAGTGTTTTTATGCTGTATAGTGTTGATAACGTTTGAAAATTAAAGACACAGAACGGCTGTTCGTGCTGTTCGGAATACCAATATTTCATTAGGAACACCTCACCTATGATACCTACATGTAGCTCATTCGGAACACCTCGCCCCGATTCCAGTTCCTTCCAACGTAGATGACCGTATCGGCCGAGAAGTTCCGAGTGACATGTAGCTACCAGTTTCATAGAAAAGAACGAAAGGGTATTCCGAATGACCAATTTTTAAGACTGCGTAACTTTCGGAACATCCTCTTTTTTCAGTTTGTGGAAGTAACCAGAAAGAATAAAGTCCTGTCTAGTAGGGTTATACACATCTTTTGATTAGTTTTGACAACTTGTGACCAATTCTTTAAAAAAATATGTGCTTACAATAAAATGTGTTAAAACTAATATATTGTATTTTCCATCTATGAACTACAAATCTTGTTTGTTCCTAGGCCTGAAATCCACTGTGTCATTATAGTAACATTCACCAGGCATGTAACGAAATTCATTATCACGCTTTTAGGTCAATAATAAACATATTATGATAAAATTGTTTTGTGTTCTTGTATTTCTCTCTAACCCGGACGGTTCCTAGTATTACGCAAACCTAGACTTACATAAAGTAACGAACAGTATTCTTTATAATTGTTGAAAAATTGAATTTTAGGGTATAGGGGTGATGAAGTTATTGAAATATAAACTAAATTCATAGGGAAATATAAAAATACTTTTTTTTTAATTTTATAACCGAGCTAAAGAACGTTCAATAAAATGAGTACGTAATTCAAATTTTCAAAATGAAAAATATTGACAAAATGTTTCTAAATCACAAACTTTGTTATGTTTCTTACCTACAGAATATTTCTGTAAACAATGTGTATCAGCACCTGTGAAGCTTTATGATTAAACCTAAGGGAAATATTTGGACTTGTCTTTAGGCTAAACAGGAGGTCTGTAATATCAAACCCGACTAGATTCTTCCTGATACTATCATAAAAATTAGACACAAAATTCATATAATCTGCGATTCAAAAGTATAACAAAAAAAACAGGAAAATACATATTTTTTCAAACACAAAAGTAAACACTTGACTTAACTGATAAAGAAGCTTTATACAAATGTATCGGTATATCGTTTTTCATATTAATCGTATCGATGATTAAGTTTACAACAATATGATACATATTATATGTTACAGACATGTTTCCATACCCCACACAAAATCATTCCGTCTAATTCACGGACATGACGATGTCTAAAAATGTTAACACCCTCGGCGAATAAAATATTTCAAGATGGAGGACGTCCTCCCTGTAGGAATACGGCGGGGCTCGCAATATCATGAGATCGCGTATTAATGTTTAATGACAATGAAAGCTCCGCGGGTTATAGCGAGGAAGCCTATCAAATTGGGTGCAAAAATACGCGATATCAGAGTGTATGCATTTTTTTGAAGCTAGAATGTGGCGAAATGGAACATAATCGGGTTCTATTTCCAGACGTTTTGTCTTAATATCTCTCAGCGCCGTAAATTTTCTCGTCATCCATATCTTCAATTAGTCCAGTAATCCAATATTCTATGGTGCTTTGAATGTAGTAACACTAGCAAACTTAATTGAAATATTATGAAATTTGTCAAAGGCCAGGCCCCGAACAGATTAACCCTAGATCCTCCGCGCTAGTGTGTTAATACAGAGATATTAAAATGGCTCAAATGATAACTCATTAAATGAAGCTCCGAGCTCGCCGAGGGCACTTTTTATATTCTATATTAATTATGGGGTAATTGGAAAGGTCAAATACACAGTGTTGGAAATATCACGGGTGAGCAGCGGATGACGGGGAGCCCGGTTTCACTGGCTGAGCGATCTTGATTTGCCGATGAATATGGAGCGGGATCTTACAGTAAATAATCTCCTGCTCCCGCCCGTTACAATTGTTGGGGGCACCGTGGCGGAAACTCGAGATTGGACTCATCAGAATGTCTTTGTTAAAACGCAATTGCCACTATTGATTTCTTTGTCTGTAAATGCAACATTGTCTTAAGAAATGGTCATCAAATATTTCCCATTAGGGAAGAGAAAAAAACGAGCCAACCAAAAGGCAGTGCCGTTGTTCGGTGTCTGTCTTGAAGAAAGCAGTAGCGATGTTACGCCTTGTTCCACCGGCGTTGTGGGGAAAATGACACTACACAATAGGTGCCGCAGATATTTTAACAAATATAAAAAACAAGGCAGATAAATTGAAATTAAGTGGTTGCATCAGTAAATAGATCTATAGAAATAGTATAGATTTAATTAAAAAATGGAACGTGTTTCTAGCATTTCCCTATTGTTCTGGTCTACTAACGTGTGGTTAGATTTTTAATTTGGAAACAAAGTGTTATTTGATGACTTTCGAAATTATTTATTTGAAAACCGGCTTTATATTGTGAAGCAAAAAATCGATATGAATTCTCCACACCATATCTACTAATCATTCTGTTTCGAGTCGACATTGGTGCATGACTCAAATTCGACATAACGGGTCAGCATGGATTCACAACTGAACTTCGGTATAACGAGTAATACACAATACAAATTCGGCATAACGGGTTAACATTTGTGCATAACTCAACTTCGGCATAAAGAGGCAATATTAATACAACGCAACATCGACATAAAGATACAATATTAATACAACGCAACTTCGGCATAACGAATCAATATTGGTGCACAGCTTAACTTCGGTATAACGAGTGAAAATGAATACACAAATTAAATTCACTCATTCATTAAGTGAAATGCGTTCACTCATATCCATGGATTATACTTATCTGACGTTTGAATAATTGCTGTATCCAATATTTACCTTTGATAGAGTAACTATATGTCTCGAAATTAATAAAAGGTCTGAATAAGGTCTAAATAAGAAAAAGACATAAAAATGCTTGATGAACATCATTCATTTAATGTTACAGTATATGTGTTCTTAACGTAGGTACGTGTTTTATTAACATGGAAATGCGTTGACATTTCGAACAGCTTCACCTGTGACATATTAATACATAATATAGTATTTATCACACACTTTTACTAAATAAATCATGCATTTTTTCTTTTTTATAATGATGACTTACCCACTAATTAGAAAAATGTCTGATATATTGGGGAAAATAATAATGATAAAAATTAATTTCCGTCAAGGACAGGATTCGAACCTGCGCGGGCATAGCCCATTTGATTTCGAGTCAAACGCCTTAACCACTCGGCCACCTTGACTATAACGACTGATCATGAAGTTTATATGTAAAACCTGAGATCTGTGTATAGTATATATTAAATCTAATATTGTGGTATGTGATATGAATATATTGTGAAATACCAAGGGGAAACACCGAATCGATAACAAATAATGTGTTAATATGCTGTCTATGATCACGAGTTATTAGTCTCTAAGATGACGTTATATCCTACAGAATGATGATGATGTCATTCAATAGAAAAATTAATTCAGTAATACCATTATTCAGTATTCAGTTGCATCAACCATACAAAACAGTAACGAATAAATAGTGACGTCATTAATATGAGGGAGTAAGGTAATACTATACCAGATAGTAACATAAGCGTTTTCTGTGTTTATCAAAGAAACCGAGACCGGGGCAACGATAGAGTTATATAGGCAGAACTTACACATGTATGGGGTGTACACGATCCGCTCTCTCGGGGGAGATGAATAAGTGAATCATAGCGAATTCACTAATTGCTAGTAAGTAACATCCATTTGTAAATGGTGACATCACTAGATACATATAACATGTAAATAATGTCGTCTTAAATTAATATGTATAGTTAATCATTCATAGGAACTATGAATGCCAACTGGAAAAAGGAAAATTCAATTAGCAAGCGCTTCATTTTTTATTTGCCTTTGTCCAGTTGGCATTTATATTGCCTATGAATGCCAACTAAAAACAGTTCAGTACTTATATACCATTTTTGGAATCTGTTTATCTCAGATTTTTTTTTTACGCTTATTATTCAGCATTTAGTTCAAATAATTCTTTTGAACAATTATGACGTCATAATAATGATGACGTCAACAGTTGGGTCGTGGCATATATATAGCGTACACGGATGCCATCTGGATGTGTTAAAGTTAAATAGTGGCAATGTCACATTATATACTACTAGTAGCTATAGGGTAGACATGTGCACACTAATTATACTAAGTACAGTCTGTAGTTGAATGTTCAGCACTGAGTCACGTGGTGATAGACACGTGTCGTCGTTATTCAGTGTTAGTATTATGTTAGGTAAGAAATGATAAATAATTATTTTTACGTATTTATCATGTTGTCTATGTAAATTATTTTACATGAGTTTACTATGTAAATATCACTTCAAATACAAACGAACACTGTATCGATCGCGTAGTAATATCTACACTGTATATTGTACATAGTATTAGACTACTATAATTTATATACTACTGACGTTTTATTTCATTATTTCCTCATTAAATAGTTAACTCTGTACGGTTCATTTCATTGTATACTTGTAAAATAACAGTACATGTATAGTATACTTTTAAGTATATTTCAGTTGAATAATATATATCAAATATGTAAGTGTGGTTTGGTTGTCATTAGAACGGTAAGCTTAATACACCAGATATTAGTGATCTCCCTTTACAACCTTCATATCTTTTCCAATATCCCAGAAATGCTGTTCCATTATAGGAAAAGCATTATATTATATAGCTATCCCTCCAGATATGCATATGTAGTATAATCACAATCAAACTTGTAATAAAAATGGCAGCTCTAAAATGTCACCATTGTGATAATTCATCATTGTCCCGACTGGGACCGCAGTGCGTACATGGAAATGGCGAGATGGATTAGCGCTGGATTAAGACGAATATACATTAGGGAAGTTATAAAATTCTCGTCCATAAAACGCATACCTATAGCGCATGTGCTTAAATGGTATATCACCAAAAATATTTATTGCTTTCATAACTGTCGTTATGTTGACTTGTTGTGATGAGCTTTACTACTGAAGACCGAGGATATCAAAAAAGATGTATTGTAGCTGAAATAATAAGTAATGATAGGCAAGCTCTGGTATATCCGAAAGGACAGTGCTGTTTTCATTGTACCCAAGTCAGCAATTTGATGGAAATTAATCTAGCTAGATGTATAACTATCCACAGCAGAACGATTTTGCCTCATCGCGTTTTCTCACTAAATTACTTCTCAAGTTCAAGTTCTTATTATTCTGATACATATCATGAAAATCACAACTTTTCTTTCAACATGTTTAGTTTTATTGTTATTATCTTTTTTATGTATTGTGGCTCAGTTTATATTGATATGAGACAAAAAGACCTTAACCCGTAAAATAATTAAAAAACAAAAAAACAAAAACTCCAATGAAATAATCACAAAAATTAAAACGTTTGCTTCTTGTGTTCAGAAACAATAGCCGAGTATATGTGTCTGCGAAGCGTTCCTGTGACCCGGACGGACCTGTGGCTCTTGTCATCTAAATCTCGAGCCCGATTTGGTCCGGAGCGAGCGTGATCGCTCTTAATTAAGCCAAACCTAGTACTCAGACATCGCGAAATATTACGTTTGGCTTAGCATACAAATCAAAACGATTTACTTCAGATGACAACCCCGTATTATGTCGTCAGCATTTCATAAATCTGACTCTGCTCCCGCGAGATAATTGGCTGTGTATTGGCGGAGCGATTACAACATGTCGCTCTCGTCTTCCTCTCAATGACCAGCAAAGAAATAATTGCAGTTTCGCTGGATATTAACGATGAAATATGGGCAAAACGACGGATGGTTTATTTGGTGGATTATTTGCTGTCTTAACAGCTCTTCTGTAAACCTTATTTATTAGGATAAATGCTTGGTATGTAATTCCTTGTGTCGTTAGTCAAGCCCGCGAAAGATTCCTAAATAAGTTTTCGGGGACAAATGAACGGTTTTCCTTGCTGATGAATTGAGATGGTATCTTCTATAAAGTACAAAATGTCTCATGTTGAATATGGCTATATTACTGAGAGAGATTTACCCCCGAGAAAACTTCTAAATCCGCGCGATAGATTATATTTGTAGAAAATAGTTCTAGATAAATAGATTTGTTGGGATGCTATACTGGCAGTTCGACATAATACACAAGTAATCTAATGTCGCAGTGTGGAGAACACCATCGACCGGCCATCATCCTGGTGATTTGATCAAAGAATAAATATAGCTGTCCCCATCTAGAGTTAACGATATTAGGCAAAGAGCACACCTAGCAAAAGCCATTCAATCCTTATAAGCAATGTTATTAGAAAATCTAAATAGTTGGAGAAATCTATCTATTTCTATTTCGATGTGTTCATAAATATTTTCTTTCTAAATAATGTCCCTGTGGTATCTATCTCCGGCCGCTATACACAGTTGACATATTAAAGGCACTGTATCACTGCGGAACCTCGTTACTCCGATAGTAGGACGAAGATTTCCAGAAGATATCGTAACGACTCTAGTATCATTCTGAAAATGAATTAGTTCGAAAATTTTGCAGAACTCAAAATATCCGGACTAATGAGAGTGCATTCATAATTCAAGAAATATTGGAATATTTATCAAAAATTAATTGACAGATCTATCACATTGTTATTATACATTGCAGATTATATTATCCGGATGCCAACAATCCAACTCATATTCCGGAATCTCAACTTATATAAACCTATCTTAGTCTCCAATCCGACACGTGCTGTAACCCCGACTTCAAGTCGGAAACTATCGTTTCCGGAGTAATGGAATTTTATAAATTCATCAAAATTCCGTACTTAATTCATATATATCGTGTAAGCCTGTTTAATGAATCAAAAGAAACATCTTCCGGTGAGGTTCAGTTTCATTCAACGTAACAATTGTCACGTCATAATAAGGATGACGCAAATCTGGTCATTGCATTCATAGCTGACATGCTTGCCATCTGAATTTGGTAGGGTTATTCAAACACTGAAGTTATTTTAGTTGGCATTCAAAGGCAACAGGATTGCCACCTGGACAAAGACAGATTCAATGAAGCGCGCTAACTCTTCATGTTGGATAGGCCTTTGTCAAGTTGGTATTGCTATTGCACTGGAATGCCCAATGAAAGTAGTGCAAAACTTACATTTTACCAATTTTATAATCTGAGTATCTTATAGAAAATTTGATTACGCTAAATAGCATTCAGTATTTAGTCCTATTTATCGTATATTTTTGTTCAATGAATAGAACAGCCATATGTCTAATGACAGCCAAAGTCATACAACGTATTATAGATGACGTCATAATAGTGATGATTTCAACAATCGGTTCGTAGCATTCATAACCGATATGAATGTCATCTAAATGCGAGACGATGACATACGATGGTAGATATATAGGGACCATACGATGGTAGATATATAGTGACCATACGATGGCAGATATATAGTGACCATACGATGGTAGATATATAGTGACCATACGATGGTAGATATATAGTGACCATACGATGGTAGATATATAGTGACCATACGATGGTAGATATATAGTGACCATACGATGGTAGATATATAGTGACCATACGATGGTAGATATATAGTGACCATACGATGGTAGATATATAGTGACCATACGATGGTAGATATATAGTGACCATACGATGGTAGATATATAGTGACCATACGATGGTAGATATATAGTGACCATACGATGGTAGATATATAGTGACCATACGATGGTAGATATATAGTGACCATACGATGGTAGATATATAGTGACCATACGATGGTAGATATATAGTGACCATACGATGGTAGATATATAGTGACCATACGATGGTAGATATATAGTGACCATACGATGGTAGATATATAGTGACCATACGATGGTAGATATATAGTGACCATACGATGGTAGATATATAGTGACCATACGATGGTAGATATATAGTGACCATACGATGGTAGATATATAGTGACCATACGATGGTAGATATATAGTGACCATACGATGGTAGATATATAGGGACCATACGATGGTAGATATATAGTGATCATACGATGGTAGATATATAGTGACCATACGATGGTAGATATATAGTGACCATACGATGGTAGATATAGGACTATGGACACAATTGGATCAGTTTCATTTTGACGTTTTTCCTCCCGCCTCGAACAACGTAACTTCATCGTAAGATGTAAAGATTTAAGAATAAAACGGTAGGCT